GTAGTGGGAGCGGGGAGGAAACCTTTAGGAACTAGAGGAAGGTTGTATTTCTCATCATTGTTACATCGCACCCTGACTGAAGCCTGGGCTCTTTTATGATTTTGGGTTTTGTTCCACATTTTTCTCTCACTCTATCCAAGAACACCTAGTGCAATCCCTTTCAGTGTACCTGGTAGTGGACAGAAGCAAACCTGTTAATTTGCTCTGTAAACCTTCATCCAATTCACAGTCAAAAGTTAAAAAACAAAAACAAAGAGAATAGCCCTGAATAGGGTTTTTTTCCCCTGATTAATATTAGCATAGTACATTTTCCTCACTCTTTCTTTCTAGCCTATCTTATCATTTTCACACACCATATTTTAAGATTTAACCTGACAATTACTGATTTTAATTGGACTGTTTAGATCAGTTATATTGATTATAATTTTGGATATGGTTGTACTTAAATTTACAATTTATTTTTCCATCTGCACGTTTTGCTTTCATTGTTTTACAATGGAAGTAGTTTGTACTACTTTCAGTTTTTATTCTTTGTGACATTATTAGCCACATTAACATCAAAGTAGATTTGCAAGCAAGATTTGCAGCGATAAAAAGGAAAATTATGTATGTTTACTGTAATTCTTAAAAGTATAACCCAAGAGAAACCAATAAGCAGCAAAAATTAAAAGCTGGACTTGACGTTAGTAGACCTATGTAATTTTACACTATTTTAATTTTCTTAGAACCAAATATATTTTTCCAGGAGCCTTATAATTACTGTTCTTTACATTTCTCACCGACAGCATAGTGCACCATATACTCTCTTCTCGCCTTCCTTCCCAACCAAACTGCAATTTTGTAATCAGTCTTGATAGATATTCACGACAAACATCAGCTATGCCAATAATGATCCTCATCGTTTTCTTTACCAGATCTCCCTAACGGATAAGGGCCAACATGACAATCTTTTGGCCAATGAAACATAAAGGAGAGTGTACTAAGGGTCTTCTGAAAAGGATTTTATTCCCTTAAAAAAAGGAACAGATGAGGTTGATCATCTCTTCCCCATCTGAATGCAGAGTCTCTTCTGAACATAAAGTAGACTAGGATGAAAAGTCCACACTTTTAAGACCAAATGTGCCTCGGTCCATGGGCACACCACTGAACGGCTAAGTGATTGACTCTGAGAAAGGTAGGACATATTTATTTAAACCATTCTCGTTAAGGTTTCCTGTTGGGCGGCTCATTTCCAGTTCGGTGGTTGAAAGCCAATAGACAACTCTGCGGGAGGCAGCTATGGTTGTCTGCTCTGGTAGAGATTTGGAAGTCAAAGAGATCCTCGACAGGGTTGCTATGAGTTGGGATAAAATTGATGGCAGAGGTTTGGGGTTGTTTTTCTTGCTTTCCTTCCTTCCGTCTTTTTAAAATTCGCTAATAGAAGCATTTCTCACTGATAGTGCGCATACCATTTGTTCTTCTACCAAGAGCCTGCAGATAGTTTCAAAACATAAAATAAAAAAGAAATTACTAGGATTTGTAAGTTTTTGAAGACTTTGAACAAATCAAGTTTTTTGGGGTGTCTATTAAATGTACCACATATACTCGAGTGTAAGCCAACCGGATTATCAGCTGAGGTACCTAATTTTAGCACAAAAACTGCATTTAAAAAATGTGCTGTAAAACTCGGTGTATACATGAGTATATATTGTACATCTGCCTTCCATCTATATTGCAAGCTTTCTTGTGGACGGTAGTCTTCTCCAGTCTTCTATAGGACCAAGGCACTATGGGGTGCTCAAATCAGACTGCAGGTAGACAAAATTTCTATATATCCTTTGCAATACCTCTAGTTATTCTTTGATACTAGTAGAAAGAAACAAAGCTAGATTTGTGTGATAAAAGGGAGTATGGGGGTAAGACGAACAAGCAAAGTGATGTGTGTCTTACGTTCACATTCTCTGACATCCAAGTTGAACTGCTGTAATGCGCCCAAGGTGAGTTGTCTTACTTCAGCTTCCAGCAATAGTTGCATCAAGGATGTAGCTAAATGCTTACAAGCCGACATACATGCTGTCTGGGCCACCTTTCCCTAAAACAAAAAGTGCACATTATAATGTTAATAGATCAAAATGTAATTCCAACAGAAACTGCACTCAAGCAAAACCAATTCTGCTATGGAGTCAGTTCTGACTCGTAGAAACACCTAAGGACAAGGGAGAACTGCCCGCGTGGGGCTCTGAGACACAAATATTTATGGAAGTAGAAAGCCCCTCATCTCTCTCCCATGGATCTGCTATTGGTTTGGAACTGTGGTTACGAGTAGCCAGTGCAGTTATTTCTCTAACAGTCTCCAATATTATACCTTATATTCCAATACTCTTGAAAGACATAGGGCCTAATGGCAAACATCTTAAACATTAACTCAATCACTGTCAGTTATTGTGGCTATAACACTAAAATGAAATTTATATAAAGCCAAATTTAGTAAATAATCACTTTTTCCTTTCTGAATTAACAGCAGAATAACAATATTTAAGAGGACTAAAGAGAATCTATAGCAGTGGCTCTCAACCTTCCTAATGCCACGACCCTTTAATACAGTTCCTCATACTGTGGTGACTGCCCCCAACCCTAAAATTATTTTCGTTGCTACTTCATAACTGTAATTTTGCTATTGTTATGTATCAGTGACCTATGTGAAAGGGTCATTCAACCCCCAAAAGGGTAGTGACCCACAGGTTGAGAACCACTGCTAGAGAGAATTTACAACAAGAATTCAAGGTTATACAATACACTAGCTTCAATAAGAGGCAGAGCGTCTAAGATGAACACTAGCAAGAAAAGTGGGGGGTTGAATATTACAAGTCAACTTGTATCATTTGGTCATACTGTGCTGGCTTGTGTGTTGCTGTGATGCTGGAAGCTCTCTCACGGGTATTTCAAATACTCATTAACAGTGAACAAGTTTCAAGCTCATTAATAGTGAACAAGTTTCAGTGGAACTTCCAGACTAATACAGGCTAGGCAGAAGGACCTGGCAAACTACTTCTTTAAAAAAAAAAAAAAAAAAGCCACTGAAAATGTCATGACATGTGCCAGAAGATGAGCCCTTCAGGCTGAAAAACATTCAAAATATGACTGAGGAAGAGTTGTCTCCTCAAAATAGAGTCCAGCTTAGTGATATGGACAGACTAAATCTTTCAGGATCATCATTTGCTAATGTGGCACAACCCAAAATGAGAAGACGCAGCTGCAAACAATGCATCAGGTTTGCAAGATGACTGGTTAACAACCAGCACTATGTAGATGACACTTGCTGAAGATGACGTGGACTTGAAGCACCTATTGATGAAGATCTCAGACTCTGGCCTTCAGTATGCACGGCACTTCAACATAAAGAAAATAGAAATTCTTACAACGGAACCAACAGGCAACATTGTGATAAACTGAGAAGTTGTCAAGGGTTTTCTTTCACTTGGTTCTAGAGTCATGGAAGCAGCAGTTTGCTGAAGAATGAAACAAGACCCATAATTCACTATAATAGGAGAAGAAAAAGCACGGCAAAGGTTTTCATACCAAAATAAGCAGACGTTGGTGGTTACTGGTGCCAGGAAAGAAAGAGGGAAGGGGTAGCAATTGGCTGGAGCAGGGGTCACAAATTGCAGCCCGAGAACCATATGTGTATGTACATGCAGCTGTGAAGTAAAATTGGAAAAATTTAAAGAATGTTATTCAGATAATGGTGATTTCACTTGTTTGAAAAAATATACTTATGGATCTCGAGTAATTGTTAAATTGTGAGAAACAGGGCTGGCTCTTCCATCTCAAAAGTTTGCTGACGCCTGTGATAGAGAGGTTTACTTGACTGAAGGGGAGGAAAGCATTATACACGAGGAAGAAAAGAACTAAAAGTAGGGACAAGGTAGGCTTTTGGAAGGTTTGATAAGTAAAGTTGTTGAATACAAAAATGATGATCAGAAATGTTGGGAGCCCTGGTGGCATAGTGGTTACACATTGGGCTGATAAAAGAAATGTAAGCTCCCACCTAATTCACAATAAAAAGCTTTATAAAAATCAAGTGCTATATTGTACTAGGTTAACCTGCTACAAAAGACCTCTCAAAAGGGTTAAAAAGTAAAGATGTTCCTCTGATGACTTCGGTGTTCTTTCTTTTTTTTAAAATCATTTTATTGGGGGCTCATACAATTCTTAACACAATCCATACATACAGACTTCCGTGTACTTGACTCAAGATATGATATTGTCAATTGCTTCATACGCATGTGAAAGCTCCACAAAGAATATGGAAAACTGAAGGAGAATTGATGCCCTTGAATTATGGTGTTGGCGAAGAAAGAATATATCATGGAATGTCAGAAGAACAAAGAAATCTCTCGGAAAAAGTACAAGCAGAATGCTCCTTAGAAGGGGATGGTAAAGATTTCATCACATGTGCTTTGGACGTATTATCAAGAATTTAACCCCTTAAGAAGGGCATCATGCTTGGTAAAGTACAGAATCCAAACAAAAGGAGAAGACCCTTGATTGACACAATGGCTGCAATATTGGACTCAAACATCAATGATTTTGAGGAGGGTGTAATCCCCAGGCTGTGTTTCATTCTGTTGCACACAGGTCACTATCAGTCAGCAGCTACTCTATGGCGCCTAATAAGTACAACAATAACAATGCTATTACATTTTGTCAAATGTTGCTAAGGCATATTACATATATTTAATTGCCAAAAAATCACCCTCCTTTGTGAAATTCCTGTGTAAGCTGACTGTCCATATTAAAGGGTGCAGTGGTAGGAAGGGAATTGCCTTAACATTTTCTTAAGAC